ACATCAGGATGTCTGAAGACACTCTCAGGCCCTGGGTGCTAATAAAAGAATCTAATGCATTCACATTTATTTTTCCTCTAATCTTGCTAGGAATTGTCCAGCTGCCCTACTTCCCGGTGTCCCCTCTGGCCTTCTGTGACTCTCTCTTGGCTTTGATCTAGAAGTTCTAATTCTCTTTCAGAGGCATTAGCATTTACCCTCTCCTGGAACATCATTTAAGCCTGTCTTCCCATTGTCATCTAGGATGAATATTCTTACTCTGCACAGACAAGAGCTATTGCCAATTTGTATGTCCCCAGAGCCTCCCCAGCATAGATATCTTGCCATTGGCAGTCGATGGAGTTCCAAGACTGATCTGTAGGCTTGATGGCCTGTCACTCCTCAGTCATGGTGCCTTGTATGGCAGGAGGGAGATCATCAAGGGAGGGAGTCAGTGTCCTATGAGGACCACTTTCTGGTTCTTGGATGAACGTTCTGCTCTTACAGGTACAGGGACAAAGAGGCTCTCTGTTACTCCTTCTACAAGGACATTAATCCCATTCATAAGGGCTCTGCCCTCCTGATCTAAGCCCCTCCCAAGGCTCTACATCCAGCTTCATTATATTGGGAGTTTCAGCACATGGTCTGGGCTGAGAGCAGCACAGCATAGCCAGACCACAGCAAGGGCGATTCTTTTTCTTTCTCATCCTTTGAGACAAGGTCTCCTACAGCCCACATTGGGTTCAAACTATCTGTGTAACCAAGGATGACCCCGAACTCCCGATCCTTCACATATTTCACAGGAGAAATGGTATGACAAATGCAGGAAACGATGGACTGAATTATAGTGCAGGGCTTTGCAAGCTTCTACCTGTGATCCGGTGCCCTGGTTTTGTTGATGCGTTTTTACTGAGTCCAGCCACGCCCAGTCTTCTGCCTCTTGGCTCTGGCCCTTTCTCAGTCCTGCAGCTGAGTGGAGTAAGGGCAACATTGTATCCTTGAGTGTCACGTCTATGGATGGAAAAAAAAATGAAAAATAATACCATTGTGTCTTTATCTAACAGGTGTAGTCTGGGCAGTGGTGGCGCATGCCTTTAATCTTAGCACTCGGGAGGCAGAGGCAGGCCGGGTCTCTGTAAGTTCGAGGCCACCCTGGTCTACACAGTGAGTTCTAGGATAAGGCTCCAAAGCTACACAGAGAAACCCTGTCTCAAAAAAACGAAAAGTAAAAAACAAACAAACAAACAAAGGAACAGGTGTAGTCTTTTAAATTTTGGTTATGAGTCCCTGAACAGCATAGGATAATAACTACTAACACGGCTTTGACATTGTGTGAGGTGCTGTGGGTGGCCTCTAGTTTGAAGGAGAATGTGGGTAGGTGGCATGCCTCTTTCAATAAGGGCTGTGAGTATCCAGAGATTCTGGAAAATGGTCCCACATGGATGCTCAGTGACAACTGGTTTGTACTGGATACTGTCTGGGCCCCAAAGCCCAAGAAGCTTACTCTCTGCCCTTCACCCACAAATCATAAAGGATGTAATTAAGAAAGAAAAACTGAGAGCTGGAGACATGGCTCAGCAGTTAAGAGCATGCACTGCTCTTTCAAAGGACCTAAGTTCAGTTCCCAGCACCCACTTCAGGTGGTTCACAACCACCTGTAACACCAGCTCCAGGGATCCAACACCCTCCTCTGGCCTCCCTGGGGGCTTATATGCATGTGGTGCATATATCTGCACATAGACACATACACATGCACATCATTTTTTATTTTGTTTCATTTTGTTTTTCGAGACAGGGTTTCTCTGTGTAGCCCTGGCTGTCCTGGAACTCACTCTGTAGACCAGGCTGGCCTTGAACTCACAGAGATCCACCTGGCTCTGCCTCCTGAGTGCTGGGATTAAAGGAGTGTGCTATTACTGCCTGGCTACATGCACATCATTTTAAGATAAAATATACCCCCATTTTTTTTTTGTTTAAGAAAGAAGAGAAGAAGCTGATTCTAGCATGGTTGAGGATTTGGCCAAGGTGAGGACGGAGCTGCGGGTGTGTAGGTGAGAGGCTGAAAGGGACAGAGGTTAGTGACTGACGGCAGAGGAAGTGGGAAGCTAGGAAGCAAAGCAACAGTCACATCCTGGGGTCTAGAACTTACCTGTGGCTCTCATGGGGCCTTCTAGAAGGATCCCAAGCAGGAAGGCACCTACAGACCTCTAAGAGTAGGTGAGGTGAGAGTGTGGTGGTTATAATCTGAGAGGAGAGTCCACACGAGGAGGCCTGGAGGTGAGGCCTTCTCCTGTCTCCCCTACCTCCCTTTCTCGCCATCTCCACTATGTAGCCACAGTGCAGGAGGTACATGGGAGACCCCAGGTGCTGACTTTCATGGTCACAGCTAGGGAAGGAGGCCCGCAAGGCACACTTGGGTGCCTGTGCTGACTGTCCGGTAACGTGTGTGTGTGTGTGTGTGTGTACGTGTGTGTGTGTGTGTGTGGTGTGTGTGTGTGTGTGTGTGTGTGTGTGTGTGTGTGTGTGTGTGTGTGTGGTGTGTGTGTGTGTGGTGTGTGTGTGTGTGTGTGTGTGTGTGTGTGTGTGTGTGTGTGTGTGTGTGTGGTGTGTGTGTGGTGTGTGTGTGTGCACCTTAGCAGATGTGATAAATTCTCTTAAAATAGGAAGCTGTTTGCTCTGGATTGTTCAGTGGGCCCTAACAGGCAGGGGAGGTTTGACACACATTAGAAGGGGGAGCAGTGGAGCTATGGGAGCAAAGACTAAAGGGATCTGGTCAAAAGCCAAGGAAAACCGGATACCACTTAGGAGAACTGTGGTAAGTGTGACAAAGCAGTTTTATCACAGAATCTTTGTTTCCACACCGTGCTGCGGACTTCGGAGTTACCGCCTCCAGCGCAGCGGGAACGTGAACTGCTGCGGCTTTACAATCCAGTTTGTCCTCTTTTGCTACAGTGGCCACAGGGGACCAACTCGGGGCTGATGGGAACTGCCTCAGGAAGGTGCAGGGTGCTTACCTGTCTGTAATCCCAGCACTGGGGAATAGGGACTGTGGAGACAGGTGATCTCAGGGGCTCACCAGCCAGCCAGTCCAGTCACACTCAAATAGATTTAACATCACAGAACTGTGCATTTAGAAATGCTTATGATGGTACATTTCAAGCCGGGCATATTTTAATACATAATATGTGTGTGTTCAAGTGTGTACAGGGAAATGTGTGCACACGTGTGGAGAGCGGAGGTCAGCCTTGGGCTTCACTCCTCAGGTACTGTCCGCCTCATTGATTTAAGGCAGGGTCTCTCCCAGACCTGGAACTCTGTCACCAGCGAGGCCGATTCAGGGAGTTCCCCCCATCTGCCTGCCCCTCCTCTCTCGTGCTGGGATTGTGAGTGTGCAACACCCCACCTAACTTTTTATGTAGGGTTCTGGGGAATCTGAACTCAGACCCTTGTGTTTGTGCAACGAACTTTACCAACTGAACTCTCTCCCCAAGCCACATAATATTTTTAAATGCTAGAAAATTCTACTTAATGGCTATTTTAGTTATAAGGACATCCGTTAATAGTATGTCTAAAACCATTTTCTAGAAACTAAAAGAACGAGAAATATTTCTGTGGGCTCTGGAGGGTACCATGGGCCTGGCTCTGTGCTGCCCATGTGATGGTGTCTGCCCCATGAGCCAGTGGAGTTTTCGGTGACCTTTGTGGGGAAGAGAGTAGGTGCTTTGTGCCTCGTGGCCCCCCTTCAGGTCTGGCAGCTTCTGATCCTCACAGCTGGTCCCCATTCTCCTCTCTCTGAGACCCTCTGCTCAGGGTTTGCTTTTGAGCTGAGCCCCTCCGTGGCCAAGCATGCTGCGTATTATGTCTCGCAGCTGGCTTCTTCTTTCCTCTCCAGGATAAGCACCTACCAAGTGGGGGGAGGGGAGGGCCACAGAAAAGACTCCACCTAGAAAAAAGACAGCCTGTTGGAGGATTTGTCTGGGGCTCCCAACTCCTGCCATGAGGCATTCACCAAAGCTCTGCTAGAAAGAAAGAGACAAAAGGTAGGGTTTGGGGGTAGGGTTGGGGATGGGGTTAGGGATAGAGGTGGAGTCGCGGATGCACCACCTGGAGAAGCTGAAAGTCCAAATTGTACCATTTCCTTTGGCATGTTTCCTTGTGAGACTAGTGTGTGTGGATAAAATGGATCTACAGCAAGGCGCTAACAAGTAAAATGAGGTAAATTAACATAAGGAGCCACTCACAATAGGCCCCCTTCCCACAGTACCACGGAGTACAAAGGCCCTGAGTTATGGCTTTCATTCTGGGTTTGTGGCACCCTAAGAATAACCTGAGACTCGCATAATTGAAAATGCTTCATTGTGGTTCCACACGTGGGGTTGGTTCCCTGCCTCCCATGAGTAACATTCCAGACAGTCTCTCTCCCCATCTCCAAGCGTGGGGGCCACCTGGCCCCTCCCGTCTGTCTTCCTGAACAAAAGCTATGGTGGATCTGTCAGGTCGCATTTGGAAACACAGTATCAATCTTGCCTTATCCTAGTATTGATGGGTTGTGGGTATTCGACTGTAATTATGTCAAAAATGAAATATTTCAGTGTGATTGGCAGGCCGATTACAATAATGCATGTCATTAGACCCAGAGCTTGCTTGTGCAACTAGAGAGAATGCCAGTGGCAATTAGCTGTGTTTCCTTTAAAAGTTGCCAAGATTTCACTTAGTTTCCATTGTGTCAGTGTAAAACACCCCACAGAGGCACCTGGTGGTCGGCATCTGTAGGATTCTTCTGTGGACGAGGCAGGGACAGAAAGATCTTCAATTGGGAAGGTGAACTTTGCTGGCTTGAGCTGTGTGCGTGCGTGCGTGCGTGTGTGCGTGCGTGTGTGTGTGTGTGTGTGTGAATGGGAGTGGGAATCCGCTGTATATAGGTGTGTGAGTGTGCATGTGTCTATCAGGGGTAGGTTCACTCCATCTTAGCTGTCTTTTTCATGGTCTTTTTTCTCTGCCTCTTCATTAAAAATATTCAGGTGAAGAGATTTATTGGGTCTACTTGGGTCAAAGGCCCAATTCCATTGTACATGATGGAACCCCTGGCATTCCAGCCCTGGCCCTTGGCATTGTTTACAGATGTTCAGACTTGGTGAGTAGATTATACCCAAATGCAAGGAGGCAGGTGTGTGTGTGTGTGTGTGTGTGTGTGTGTGTGTGTGTGTGTGTGTAGAGGTCATAGTTGTCTACAAAAAAATTGTCTAAGTGCTGAAATCCATCTTTGGGACCCATGACACCGGGAATGGGTGGGCTGAGCTAGGTCTAGTACTGCTCCCATTTCAGTTTCATGAGCAAAGTATTCTGTTGCAGAACACGAAAATGAACCAGTATATCAGTAAGCAAAGTCACATTCCAAAGCACTGCTGGTAAGGACTTCGGTATGTGGATGAGGAATGGGAGTGGGGGTTTCTCCCTTAGGAAGGCCCGGGCATAGGAGAAACTCTCCCTGACTTGGCCCTGAGTAGGGGTCTGGGTTGTAGGAGGAATATGACCTGGTAGTTTCTGCCCAGACTTCCTGGAATCGTGTGTCTGGGGCGGGGAGCAAGTGTGTATTGGTTTCTAGGCCTGGGATGCTCCAGCAAGGGACACATGCACTCTCACGGATCTGGAGGCTGGAGCTCTGAGATCAGGGTGATGTCAGGTCAAGCTCTCTCTGAAGGTTTAGGGAAGGATGTCTTCGAGGCCTCTCTTCAGGCTTCTGGGGGCGTCCTGGCTTGTTGCAGTAGAACTGGTGTTTATGTGGTGGCCTTCCCGTCACTGTCATCCAGATGCCCCCTTTGGAGAAGGACCATCAGTCACACTGGAGGAAGGGTCCACCCAGCTCCTCCCCTAAACTAACACAGTGACCCAAGCTGCAAACAAGCCATGGTGGTTAGGACCTCTGCATGAACCCAGGGAGACACTGTGCAATCTGTAGGGAACCTTTAGGTCAGGCTCAAGACTCCTTCTAGACGTGATGGACAGTATGAAGGTTACCTTCTAGGCCCTGTAGTGCCCTGTTAAAGAGATTGAATGGCTCAGAACCAAGGTCTGGAAACAGGTGCAATCCCAGAGCAAGGTTCAGGAGGCCTAATGAGGATGCTTACTCATCCCCTCCCCCTGAATCCCCTTCTCCTTCCAGCAGAAGGGACCCCTTTCCTAAGGCTTCTCTGGATTCTAGCACCTCTGATGCAGAAGGTAGATTCCAGGCTGTGCTTTGCCTTTGGCTACTCAAGTCTGGCTTGGAACCTTGCAGAGAAAGGAATATATCCCCTGAAAGGAGGTGTTGCTTGGCTTTACAGCACAGGTTCGAATCTGACCTGACCCAGGAATAGAAGAAACCTTGGCAGACATAGGCCTGCTGTGGGACCGAAGCATCCACAGACTCACCTTGCTGCATGACTCCTGGAATCATGCTAGAGTCTCTTCAATGGAGGGTGTCCATCTGCTCGTCAGGCCTTTCCCGTTGATGTTGTGCCCTTTCTCCAGGGCCACGCCCCCACAATTTCAGAATTGTGGCTATCAAGTGACACGTACTGGGACGGAGGACAGGATGATAGCATACTACGAAATATGGAATGTGCAGCTGAGAAATTTGTGTGCACGCTGCCTCTCTTTTCACGGGGTTAAAAAGAGACTCATTGTGTAAAATACACGTGACACAAAATGGGTTACAGTGGTCGTTTTTGTTTTGTTTTGTTTTGTTTTGTTTTTCGAAACAGGGTTTTTCTGTGTAGCTTTGAAGCCTGTCCTGGAACTCACTTTGGAGACCAGGATGGCCTCGAACTCACAGAGATCCACCTGCCTCTGCCTCTCGAGTGCTGGGATTAAAGGCGTGTGCCACCACTGCCCGGCACAGTGGTCGTTTTAAAGTATGGGGTACGGTGGCATTAAAGTGTAGTCACATTGTTGTGGGGCCACCACCACCTTCCGACTTCAGAACCCCTTTCTTCCCAAGCTGTAGCTCTTCAGTTATTAAACAGTAACTCATTTCCATTAGATCCGGTGTCCAACCTTCTCCAGTGTTCTGTTGGTCTCTCTCTGTGTGACGAACCACCCCAGGTGTGAGTGGCACCTAACAGCAGCTCCAGTTTAGGATACACAGTTCTTTGGGCTAGGAATTGGGACAGGACACAGGAGAGCTAGTCTCTGGTTCACCATGGCTGGGCCCCACTGAGGGCCGTTTGAGTGACTGGGGCTGCCTAGCTATCTCTGCAGCGGTTGTACTGCCAGGGCTCCGGTGGCCAGCTGACTCCTGGATTCTTCCCATTCCATGTTCATTAGGATTGAGTTATCCAAGATGGAAACCGCACTGTGTCTGAGGATTGGACTGGGACAGTTAGGGCAGCAGGCTTGCTCGACAGCTGTCTCCATACACACTTCTCCGTGGGCTAGCTTCCTTACAGCACTGTAGGTTTCCTTTTTCTGATTGCTTCCTAAAACCCTCTTTCATGGGAGGCTTCCCTGTACCCACCTCCCCCCACCCCACCCCCAGATCCACAAAGTGTACTTTGCCTCATAGACATGTTTTATTCTTATGTGTTCATATACCTCTCTTCCCTTCCAGATCATCAAGTCTTTTCAGCCAGGAGCTATGTGTTTGCAGGGTCCTTCTTGCCTGGGAGGTGCAGGGACACAGAGTACCTTTAGTAATGGGTATTCCATGCCTGTATGTGTGAATGTCCCGAGAACAGCGGTGGTGTGGCCTAAAGAATTGGTGTGGCTTCGCATTGGAATACCCATACGAAAGTGTAAGAAGCATCACTGGGCACAGCCGAGGTAAGAAATAAGTCAGAGTTTCTGTTTGAGCTTCTGGAATCTTCTAGTCTTACTCCTCCAGATGTGCTCTGCCTTTCCTTGGGGCTGTGAAATGGATATGGATGTTGCTTGAGGGAAGGATGTTCTCTGGTGAAATACGTTAAGGAAGTCTGAGGTTAATCAAAAGTTGTGTTTCCTCTTTGTAGGGATGGACATTTAAGATCTTTGCAGAAAGCGCAGATGCAGAAAGTCCAGTGCTTGTAGGCAAGACCACTGGTGCAGAGAACCTTCTCTAGGGAGTGTTGGCTTATCACTCTTGATTTCGCTGCTAGGTCACAGACTCTTACATAAGACGTCCCTTCTATGTGCCCTACTGACCAAGCAGTGCACCACACGTCCCCCAGCGACTAGCAAAGGGGTGCATGGCATTCTTTCTTCCATGACAAGTGGCTGCGCTGAATGGCACATGGAATTGGAGTTGCCATCAGGTATTTCAGTCCATGTATAGCACAGGCGATAGTGACAATTCCATGACGGATTCCAACGTTCCTTTGGAAGGAGGAAGTGAGATCAAGGAATAGAATGAACTCCCCAGGGAAGCCTGGGGAACAGTGGTCACCTGACTCAGTGTGGGTCTTTGTATTATGACAGCGTTCTCCGTGGGACCTGAGCCTTTAGTCAAGAAGGAGAATGTCAACCTGAAACAAGGACTTGTAGACAGTCTCTGAGCACTAAGAACCCACAGGTGTCAGGTCCATTCCCCACTATTGACTCACGCCTCCCAGGAACACTAGGAGCTGGTGTATTTCGAACAAACTTATAGACGAGATGATCAGACCAAGGCTTTGCATTGGGAGTAGTGGGGGAAGTTTGGACCAGGCCTCACGAGCTTTGCCTAGAGCGCCATGCTGAAGACACTGTCGATGCTCTGTTCAGAACGTTTTGGTGTCTTCGAATGGGCCCCCAGAAAGCTCAGCCCACTGACATGCATCTCACTCACCCCACTGGGGATCTAGTCTCGCCACGGGATTTGTTCCTGCAAGGCTGCCTTCCAGAGCAGCCTTCTGGGAAAGGGGGATCAGTGGCAGAAGGGGTGGATCCAGCAAGGCTTTTTCAGTAAAAGCCTTTTATGCCTCTTGTTCAAAGCGTTTAAGTGCCTTTTAGATCACAGATTGAACCATCGACATTGTAAAGTGGAGCCTTTTAATACCAAAATACACTGCCAGAGTAAGATTCCATTATGGGAAAAAGCTTTTCCCTGTGCCAGCCTAGAGAATAATTCTCTCACGTGTAAATAGGATGTGTGAAATGTTTGATGACAAACAGTTTCTCCGTATTAAAATAAGGGACTCGTAGGCTGTGTGTGTGCGTGTGTGAGCATGCCTGTTAATTACACATAACAAGTCATGTCTCATCCGTGGACACGAGTTTCTTCATGAGGACTGGCCTCAGTGGACTTCAGGTGTTTACATGATAAAGCTTTGTTTCTTCTCTGGGCATCCATTTTCTTATCCTAAAATGAGGGCTTTGGAATCAAGAAACTTTTGGGTTGGACCCTTGACCTCGAGCAGCTTAAGTGAGGGGGGAATGGAGTATAGGGGATCATGCTGTGTGAGGAAATGACCTCTGGAAAGGTCGCAGTTGGTGTTCCAGCAACCCCAGCATTATCAGGGCTTGGTTTCCTCTGCTCCGAGGTTAGTCATCCAGGCCATCCTTCCTGCTACCCTCTCTGGCCTCCCACAGTGGTGTTCTCACTGTCCTGCGATACTGGCAGAAGAGGACTGCTTTCTCCCAATGTTTTCAAAAGCTTCCAGGTCAAATGTCATTGGCTTAGATGGGATCCTGTGTCCTTCTTGTCCCTGGACAAATCACCATCTTTGGGGTGCCAACTGTATTGATTGGCTGACCCTTGGTCACACGCTCACTCCAGAGCAGAAGTGGTCAGCTCCTTTTATCCACAAGGTCAAAGTCATTGTTCTGGCTAGTTTTATGTCAGCTAGTTTTATGCCACCAGCTGCCATCATTTATGAGGAGGGAGCCTCAACTGAGAAAATATCTCTATAGGATTGGGCTACAGGCAGGCAAGCCTGTGGGACATTTTCTTAATTAGAAATTGATGGGGGTGGGGCTGGGACACCCCTAGGCTGGTGGTCTTGGGGTATATAACAAAGCAGACTGACCATGCCAGGGGCACAGGGAAACCAGTAAGCAGCAATCTTTCTCCATGGCTGCTGCTTCAGCTCCTGCCTCCAGGTCCCTGCCCAGTTTGAGTTCCTGCTCTGATTGCCTTTGAAAATGAAATGAACTGTGATATGGAAATGTAAACAGAATAAACCCTTTCCTTCCCAAGCTGTTTTGAAGTTCCAGCACAGAAATATAACTCCTAACTAAGATGGTCTTAGATGACGGTGTGTTCCTGTCCCTCCCCTGCCCCTCAACACTACAGGAAAGAGGAAGGAAGGAGAAATAGAGGCAGTGGAATCATGGCCACTTACCTGGGCTTTGGGGTACCTTCAGTCTTTATGAGCGTTTTAGGGTTTCTATTGCTGTGGGGAGACACAATGACCATGGCAACTCTTGTAAAGGAAAACATTTAATTGAGGCGGCGGCTTACAGTTTCAGAGGTTTAGTCCACTATCATCATGGGGGGAGCATGGCAGCTGGGAATATGGCAGTGTGTAGGCAGACATGGTGCTGGAGAATTCTACATCTTGATCCAAAGGCAACAGGAAGTGAACTATCTCACTGGGCGTGGCTTGAGTATATATGAGACCTCAAAGCTCACCTCCATAGTAACATACTTCCTCCAACAAGACCACACCCACTCCAACGAGGCCACACCTCCTAAGAGTGCCACTCCCTTTGGGGGCCATTTGCTTTCAAACCACCACATTGAGCAAGTGAGGCCTGAGAAAGTCCTAGAGCATATGGTGAGAGTTGGCACTTTTGAGATGATTCAATCCAACACATGCTCTCCAACTCTCCTCCGGACTACTCAGCTTGGGAGGCCTTTCTGGGAGGGTGGAGCCAAGGATTCTCCTGACAAAACCTGGCCACAGGTTTGCTCTTTGAACCTGCTTTGGCTGTGCAGCATCTCTTCAGTTAGCCGATCTTTTCCAAGTATCCTTTGGCAAAGTCGGGGCTCCAGGCTGATTTCTGGCCCCAACACGGATTTTCTGTGTACACTTGGCCAAGCCATTTCACCTCTCTGAGTGCCACCTTCCTGATTTGTAAATTTCCCTTTGTATAAAAGCTCCCTGGGGGCTGGGAAGGTAGCTGGTGGGTGAAGTACTTGCCAGGCAAGTGTGAAGACTCGAGTTTGGTGCCCAGAATCCATAGGTGGGGGAGGGAGAGGGGCCTGGTGGCATACATTTGTAATCCTAGCACTGGGGAGGCAGAGACGGGAGGATCCCTGGCTCACTGGACAGCCGGCCGGGCCCACTCGGTGAGCTCCAAGCCAGGGATAGACATGGTCTCAAAACACAGGTGGACAGCTCTTGAGTTATGACACCCAAGGTTGCCCCCTGGCCTTCACACAGACATGCACTAACACATACATACACAAACCCCCCCACACACACACACACTCCCTTTTGCCCCTCCCTGTGGTGATATTGTGTTCCTCAAAATATTGTGCATCCTCATAAACTTATCTGGGGTCAGAGAACAGAACAGCCACTAGACATAGAGGCCAGAAAATGGTGGCACTCACGCCTTTAATCCTATCACTTGGGAGGCAGAGATCCATCCGGATCTCTGTGAGTTTAAAGCCACACTGGAAACAGCCAGGCATGGTGACTCACGCCTTTAATCCCAGGAAGTGTGGCAGGAAGCAGAAAGGTATTTAAGGTGTGAGGACGAGGAGCTAGAGCCTGGTTAAGTTTTTAGGCTTTTGAACAGCACAGTTCAGCTGAGATTCATTCTGGATGAGGACTCAGAGGCTTCCAGTCCGAGGAAACAGGATCAGCTGAGGAACTGGCAAGGTGAGGTGGCTGTGGCTTGTTCTGCTTCTCTGATCTTCCAGCATTCACCCCAATACCTGGCTCCAGGTTTGTTTTTAATAATAAGACTCTTTAAGATTCATGCTACACCTCCCCACACATATACCTTTGGCTCTCTCTGGCTCTAGAAGATGTTCTAATACTCTCCTACAGTCTGGGTTTCTGGAAAGGCTGAGACAACCTGTGTTAGGTTGTGCCTGTGTTTTTACAGATGTGTCTGGAGTACACATGGGCTCTATCTATAACAGCAGGCTGATCCAGGCAGGGAAGGATGGCTGCATGCATAGCTTTGTAGAGGACACACCTGGATTCAAACCTTGACTGTTCTTTGGACAGGGCTTTGTGCAGATGATTCAAACTTCTGGGGCCTGTGCTGCCTGTTTAGAGCCTGGGGGCCATTGTAGAAGGTCATGAGGACACTCGGTGCTGAGCTGAGGCCAGAGCAGAGTCCAGTTTGGGGAAGCAGGTCACTGCAGGAGGGGTGCACGGTGACACCCCAAAACTCAGAAAGCAGACTGTGGTATGGCCTTCTTTAGTCCCCTTAGAGGGGATTATGGCACTGACACCAACCATCCCTGCCACAAAAAACAAAACAGTTCTCGTCTCAGAGGGGATAAGAGATGGTTTATTCTAGAGCCACCTATGAGTGACCATGGCCTGGGAACACAAAGCAGGTCACCCCGAATACTATATTCCAATGTGAATGAAAAATGAGGACATGGCTGCTCCTAGGTATGAGGAGAAGGTTTATTGTAGAACAGTCTGAGGCATTGGGAGAGTCCAGAGTGAACCCAGCCAGCAGACTGAACTTGGCCGTGGTGGTGGTGGGCGGTTAGGGAGAGAGGAAGAGAAGGGTTGGGAGCAGGGAGAGTCTGGTGGCCAGAGTCCTCTTTGATATGTTAAATAGGCACCTCAGTTTAGCCCCTTGACCCCAATCTCTTTGAGACCTAACACAATGTGGTGAGAGCCTCAGGAAGTTTTTACAGTAACAAAGAAATAAGTCAAGACACTTTTCAAATATATTGGTGGGAACATCAAGTTGGTCGGTCACAGCAAAGTGAGTTCCTGCTGTAGGCCTCAGATGCTGTCTGATGACATCCCCAGCCTTTGGGTTGCTGGATCTAGGGTGTCTGTGTGTACATTCTGAAAGGATTTACCTGATGGTCACAAGGATGTTAGGTCACAAAGCTGAGCAATACATTAAAATTTAGGGAGCTAAGCCCAAGATAGTTTGGCTCTGAATCCGCACCATTCCAACGCTCTGCAATCATTGACATTTTAATCAGCCAATGAGCCTTGGAGAATGCTAATGCACATGCAGCCTCCCCCCCCCCCCCCCAACCTCAGTTTACAAGGCTTTAATGGAAAGGTAAGCTTGTTGCTGGGTTCATGCTATGAGAGCACCCTAGATTGACGGTGTACCCTTCCTTACAGATCTGGGATGAAAACAGAAGGTGCTCTAAGACACACAGAGAACATGGTCATGTGAAGACAGAGGCAGAAATTAGAGTGGCCCCAAGCCAAGAGCTGCCAGGAGTTGCCAGACGCTGGGGAAGGCGGGAAGGCTCCTCCTTTCTAGCCGTCCCAGGGAACACAGCTCTGCCGCTATCTTATTTCCTCCAGACCTGTAGCAGCATTTCCAGGAAAGGTCACAGAGTCCAAGGTAATTTGTCGAGACGCCTCTGGGAAATGACCAGAAGGGTTGCCTAACTTCAGAACAAAGTGGTGGCCTGGTGGGTCCTGCGGCAGGCCCAGACTGACTTTCCGTTTACAGAGGGCTTCTTATCTCTCTCTCTCTTCTCTCCCTCTTTCTCCTCTCCCTCCGTTCACTCCCAGCATGCACCCCATCTTGATGTTCAGTCTGATTACCCATGGAAATTTCCCCTACTGAGCTGATTAATCAAAATACCAAGCCATTCATATCACACTTACTCAAGATCGTGCTTAAAAATAGTCAGTAACAGATATGTACAAATAGACCGGGCGACACACGGAGTGATTATCGGTGATTCAATTCACTCTGGGATCATGAGGAGGGTGAAATCGTTCGGCAGGAATGGGTTTTTAATGATATGTTTCTAACTAATAGGGAAGATAACGCACATTATACACGCTCGGGCTTTAGTAAGTGAGCCATACCAAACGATGCATTTCTTCGTTCAAGAGACACTTGGTATGGACTGTGTGCCAGACGCCACGCGAAGCAACTCTGCCCTGGGGTGAAGTCTAGCACAGGGGACAGGCAACTGCGCATGCCATGTTCATTTGGAGTCTGAAGACAGTGACAGGTTGTTGAAGAAGGATGCAGCTGGCTGAGAGCGGCCATGGGTGACAGACGTGGAGGGCGTGGGCATCGGGGCTAGACCAAGAGGTTTCAAATCCTAACCCTACCTGGAAGTAAGAGGAGCTACTGAACACCGCTGAGTTCTGTTCTGTAGGTGGTAGAGAGTTTCTCTTCCTCTTCCTTCTCCTGAGTTTCAGTGGACAGCCAAAATGTGTTTGTTTATATATATATAAAACTATATATATATAGTTTTTTGCAGTCCCAGGGATGGAACCTAGGGCTGCTAAATGTGGTTTTTGTTTGTTTGTTTTCTTTTGTTTTACCAACTAGATATAAGCTGGAATTATCTGGGAAGGGGAACCTCACCTGCCTCTTCTTTATTGTTTTAAGATTTATGTATTTACGTATGCGAGTGCTCTATTTGCATGTGTGCCTGTGTGACAGAAGAGGGCGCCAGATCTCATTACAGATGGTTGTGAGCCACCATGTGGGTGCTGGGAATTGAACTCAGGACCTCTGGAAGAGCAGCCAGTGCTCTTAACCACTGAGCCATCTCTCCAGCCCCTTAACTGCCTCTTGAATGAAGGATTGCCTTCTTTTGATTGGCCTATAGGCAGGTTTGTAGGGCGTTTTCTTGGTTAATCATTGATGTGAGAGGGCCTAGTCCATTTTGGGTGGTGTCACCCCTGGGCAGGTGGTCCCGGGTTGTATAAGAAAACAGGCTGAGGGGACTGGAGAGATGGCTCAGAGGTTAAGAGCACTGACTGCTCTTCCAGAGGTCCTGAGTTCAATTCCCAGCAACCACATGGTGGCTCAAAACCATCTGTAACGAAATCTGGTGCCCTCTTCTGGCCTGCAGGCACACATGCTGTATACATAATAAATAAATCTTAAAAAAAAAAGTAAAAAAAAAAAAAAGAAAAAGAAAACAGGCTGAGTGAGCTACGAGGAACAAGCCAGTCACCATTGTCCCTCCACGGATTCTGCTTCACTTCCTGCCTCCGGGTTCCTGCCTCGAGTTCCCTCCCTGGCTTTGCCTCATGATGGATTGTAACTGTGACCTAGGAGCCGAGTAAGCCGTCCTTCCTACGTTGCTCTTGGTCGGGCATTCTATCACAGCAAGTTAGCACCCTGGGCTAGCTCCCTACCACCGAGCTATACCTCAGATGATTCTTAGAGGCTCTAACACAAACTTCAGGTTTGTTCCCTGCAGTGGGCAGTGGCTGGCACCCCGGGCTGGTTCACCAGCCTTCCAACCGCTGTTTCCATGTTCAGGCTCTGGAGACCTTGTTCCAACAAGTATGATTCATTAATGTGCCAGGATTTCAGGGGGGCTATATGGAGGCCACTCCCCATGAGTCCCTCCATTCTGTTATACACCCTTTCTCCCCCTTTTCCAGCTGTGCTGGTGGTCAGAGTTCCATCCTCCAACTCCCCAGAAGAGCACAGTAGTCCTGCAGGACCACAGACATCCACATGGACCTTGGGCTTCAACAAGGCCTGGGGCAGTGGGTCATGTATACCAATGTGGCCTCCAGGGGTAGCAAGGACAATAGAGGTCTTTCGAGGAGGTTCGATCTAGAAAATGAGCTCTTCTTCATCTCAGACATCCCATCGTTGCTCAGAACCAGGGTGATCCTGCAGCTGGGCAGCATGTTTGGGAGCTGAGTCTAGGCTGTGTGTGCGCAAGTTTTAGTGTGCAAGCTCCAGGCTGCTGCACACCACCCTGTCAGCCTACTCAGCAAGGACATGTTTCCCTGTCCACTACAGCCTTCTCATACACCTGTCACCACAGTCCTGTCTCTAGGGCTGCCTCTCTCCGATGCTCACTCACCGCTCCATTCCTCCATCTTTCCCACCTCTCCACTGCATATTCGTTAGTCACAGTGGCGTTGGAAACTGCAGTGTGTCACACGGTATATATATTTGCCCAAACAGCTTTACATGCAAATATTCGTTGCAACGAATCATTGGTCTGGTTCAAGGTTTCTGGTTTCAGAAGCACTGTAAATCCTGGACCATTGCTGAGACTTGTCTCAGATACCCTGCTGCTGAAGGGAGTCAGGGTGATGTTTCAGCTAGGCAGGGGTGTCTGGGGCAGGCTCTGTGCGATCATCTCCTGGCCCCACCCTCAGTGACTGCTGACCAGAGGCTCCTGGGCTCTGCCTTTGTAGCCTTAGGGCAGCACTGTTGCTCTGTGCTCTCTGTCTCCCAGCAGGTCAAGCGGCACAGGGTACAGCTGCAGTGACTCCATGTTGGGGGCCAGCTGACCTGCCCTATTCAGTAATGACATGTTTCCTTGGGAGCGTCAGGCCGCTGCACACTGCGCTGGCCGTGGGGCATGCCTGTTGTGCTTGTAGGCTGTGGGCAGCGCTGCTGCCCCTCAGTATCCATCTCCCAGCAGAGCAAGCAGCACAGGCCGCAGAGCCAGCTGGTGGGCCTAGGACGGGCCCTATTCAGTACTGACCAGTTTCTGTGGGAGTTCCTGGGAGCCGCACATCTCCTCACAGCTCATCGGGCACAGCTTTTGTGCTTGTAGCCTGCTGACTGGGCTGCAGCGAAGGGCACAGATTCGTCATTCTCTGCTGCCCGCAGCTCAGTTCCACCATCTTTCTTTCCAATTTCATGAATCCACTTGTTAAAAGCGTCTTCCCCTAACACTTGCCCTTTTCTTTCTTTGTAGTTGCTCTGGAGCTCCTGCGGGCCCTGCAGACTCCTTTTCTGCCACCTCGCCCCTGCCATGTCACCCCTCACAGCCTCCATGGGCCTCTCGGGCTCCATGGCGGGTGCCGGTGGTTAGCATCATCTTTATTTTCACTCGAGCTTTTTTTTATTTCAATTAATTAATGAGTTTTCCTGGGTGTTGTAGAGGCTGGAAGACAGTTTTCAGTGTCATCTTCAGGATGCTGTCCACCTCCTTCACCTCCTTCCATAAGGTTCTCTTGGTGGCCTGAAGTGTGCCAGTGAGACTCTGCGGGCTGGTCAGTCACCGCCAGAAGCTATCCTGGCTCAGCCTCTTCAGTGTGGAATTGCAAGCTCACCCCTCCATGCCCAGCGTTTTCATGTGGGATCTCAGGCTTGAACCCAGGTCCTCAAGCTTGTGCAGCACTTGCTTTACCAACTGAGCCGTCTCCTCAGCGCTTTATCTCTCTGATGTATTGTCAGACAGTCCATAGTGGCCTAATGCTAGCTCACAAGGCCTCCCCTCCCCTCTCCTCCCGTCCCCTCCCCTCATCTTCCCTCCCCTCCCCTCCTCTTCCCTCCCCCTCCTCCCCTCCCCTCCCCTCCCCTCCCTTCCCCTCCCCTCCTCTCCCCCCATCTCCCCTCCCCTCCCCTCATCTACCTCATCTTACATAAGAGTGTAATATGATGAGAGAGGGAGGGAGGGAGAGAGAACTCGTTGTTGAGTTCTTTCTCAGAGAGGTTTGTGGGAAAGGAGCTGGAATTCCTTTCCAATAGCTTCCCCTGTTGGCTGGGAAGGAATTTTCCTCATGGAAACTGGAATGTGGGAGCATCAACCCCTTCACGATGTGGCCATCCGCTGCTCTGTAACTGTCTGTCAGTTTATGTCCATTCACTCCTCAGGCATCGGTCTAGTCTCATTCATCCCTATCCTGAGAGCCTGAAGCAAGGCTACATTGGTGCTCAGCCAGTGTTTGTTTAATAGTGAATGAATAAACTTTAGGGTGAACCAGGGAAGGCACCAAAGGGTTCTGCAATATGCCCAGAGCCTCCCTAGGCAGCTTAACTGATTTCCAAGACCTTTGGGGCTTATCTCTGTGGTGACCTAGGGCCAACAGTGATCATGTTCACAAATTATCCTTGGGTTTATATTTAAATTCCCAGTGAAAAAAATGCTACCTTTGTTAAATCATGCTTTCTGCTTCTGCTGCAGGTGTTGGAGTGTGAAAATACGGGCTGAGCTCAGCTCCCCGGTGTGAAATGCAAGCCTCGGGAAATTCAAACGTATGCGTCAATTGCAGCCCAGGTTTCTTTTTATTAATGGTCACTAATGGTCTGCAATCAAGACACACCTGTGAGAGGCAAAATACCAATCGGCTTGTTTGTGTGACGTGAGTAGACTTTATCAGCCTGCTGATTATTCTTCCTCTCTCCAGGTATCAGGCAAGGGACATTTGTGCAGAGAGAGGGGAAGTGGCCACTTATCCCGTCTAAGGAGGCAGTGTGGTGTTGTCGCCAGGTTAGAGGCACACAGTCGAGGCTATAAAAACCTGACGCTGTCACTAGCCAGCTGTATTTGTCCATTTTCTGTTCTTTGAATGGAATACCTACAGCTGGGTAACTTGAACAGAAATGAAGCTTGTCAGCCCTCTGTCTAGGAGGCCACCAGGGCAAGCAGCATGGTACTCGGGTGGGCGCCAAGGCCACATCAGCCCGGGACAGACAATGCTGTGATGGTAGACACCTGTGGGAAGAATGTAAATCTCACCGGTTGATTCTAAGGACAGTGCCAATGACCCAAGGCCCTACCACTAGACCCGCTGCTTCAAATGCTTTCTCGCTCTCTCTCCACTGGGATCAAAGACATCTACTTCTGTGCTTGGCCTTCGTCATCTTTTAACACTGGTGACCATCGAACCTTGGAATAGTGAACCACACCAAGCCCTTACCAGAACCTCAGGTCAACCCCGTTTCTTCCCTGGGAGGCTCTACTAATCATACTGTCTTTCTGGGATGATCATGAAGATAGTAAGTCAATGTCTTCCACAATCCTCATGTGCTGTGCAAGTCCAACACTTTCATTCCTGACCTTTTTGGTGTTTTCCTAGGAATTCTGTCAGTGTGCTTAGCTGTCTGAAGTAGAGGTGTACCCAGGTCTCCCTCAGTTCACATTTCTGGCTTCATGAATGCTCCTTCCATCCCAAGTGAAGAAGAAAGGATCCCTGACCCGGGTCACAAATGGGTTGCTAGGAGACATTGATGCGAGGGAGAGATGGACTGCTGAGCTGAGAGAGGTGGGGAAACAGCTCCTGGGGTCACAGACACAGCCTCCTGGCAGGCCCAAGAAGCTCTGTGACTCTGAGTTTTGGTCCCATGTTCATTAGTTTGACAGGACGGTCATTATAAAATATCCCAGGCCATGCGGCATAAACAGTGGGGACCCATTTCTGCACAGGACTGGAAGCAGAAGTTCAAGATTAAGTTGTCGGCTGGGTTGCTCTTTCTTTAATTTACCGATGGTGTCCTCTCCATGGCTTCAGTGTGGTCTTCCCTCCGTATGGGTCTCTGTTCTACTCTCCCCTTCACATAAAGACATCAGACCTCATTTTAACACAGTCACCTCTTCAAAGGCTCTGCCTCTAAACACTGCCACTCTGGGGGCCTGGGGGTCAGGACCTCTGTAGTAGAATATCACTTCAAGGTGTGTTACTTTTGTTTATGCTGCATTTGCTTAGCTCTGTGAAGCTGTGTTACTGTGCCTGTCTAAAACACCTGATGGTCTAATAAAGAGCTGAACTGCCAATAGTGAGGCAGGAGAGAGAAATAGGTGGGGCTGGCAGGTAGAGAGGATAAAATAGAAGGAGAAATCTGGGAGGAAAGAAAAGGAGCCAGAGAAGGAGGAAGATGCAGGGGCCAGCCACCCAGCTACCCAGCAAGCCATGGAGTAAGAAACAAAGAAAGGTATACAGAAATAGAGAAGGAAAAACCCAGAGGCAAAAGGTAGACAGTCTAATTTAAAGGAAGTTAAGGAAAGCTGGCAAGAAACAAGCCAAGCTAAGGCTGGATATTCATAATTAAGAATAAGTCTCCGTGTGTGATTTATTGGGGAGGTGGGTGGCGGGCCCCCAAAAGAGCAGAAAAACAAACAACAACAGACTTCAGCACGTGACTTTGGAGAAAAAGGACATGATTGGGTCTAAGAAACTACAGAATTGGTGCTGGAAGACCAGCAAGTGACCTGGAGTCTAGGAGACAGGCTGAGACAGAGACCTCAATCTCTGAGACACGTTGATATGTTCTAGTCGGGGTTCTCTCTCTACCACTGGGGCTTGCTCTGGATGTGGGAGAGGGGAGAGCTCACACTCCTGGCCCTTTCTGGGGACCCCTCAGCACTGCCATGCTTTCTTTCCCTCTTTCCCAGCCTGTCCTCCTTTTCAAGGAAACCTGGTGTTGGCCTGGACGGTGGACTCCTGGGAGTCCTGCTGCAGTCTAGTCTTTCTTCCAGGGCCTTGACCTTCTGCCCTTGTCCTGGTTGGTGTTTTGTCAACTTGACACAAGCTAGAGTCATTTTGGAAGAGACAACAACAGCTGGGGAAATGCTCCCATCAGGCTGGCCTGGAGGCAAGTGTGTGGGAATTTTCTGGATTGAAGATTGATGTGGGAGGAACCAGCTCATGTGGGGGATGCTGTCCCTGGGCAGGTGGTCCTGGGGTATGTAAGAAAGCAGGCTGAGCAAGGTAATAAGCCGCACTCCTCCATAGTCTCTGCTTCAGTTCCTGCATCCCAGTTCCTGTTTGAGTTCCTGCCCTGAGTTCCGGCAATGATGGACTGTGACATGGAAGTGTTAGCCAAATGAACCCTTTCCTCCCTGAGCTGTTCTTGGTCACTGTCTTTATCACAACAATAGGAAGTACACGAAGATAGCCCTTTACCATACAAGCTTAAGAAAGTCTATCACTTCTGCTGACAGTTTCAAAAGTATGACATCATCAAAGAGTAATTAAAAAAATGAGAGTGTGTTTCCAAATTTCAAAGCTGAGAAGTGTTATTCCTGTATTTTCTCTTATAGCCTTCTTTCTCTGGGGCTTCCAGCTGGGATGCCTTTCTTACTGAACTTTGAGGAAGCCACAGGGTCTGGGCATATCTTAGAGAAATGAGGAGGGACACCCTGGTTCATATGAGCCAAGTGGAACCCCGAGCCCTGAACTCTCAGAGAAGCCTGGTCAGCCAAGATGTCCCCACCCCTGAACCACCGAAAGAGTCACTGTTGGACCACGGACTTGACACTTGCCTTGGTGGCCAGATGACTGCTACCTGAAGATCAGGGAGCATTCTCCCTTATTTGTGATGCCACTCTATGTTCCCTTCGACATAAAGGAAGACACTCATTATTGATATTATATAGACAGCTCAAATCCTGCCTCTGTGGCTTTGGGTAAGTGGCGCAAATCCCCAAGATTCATTTTCCATAATGGTAAGATGGGCCAGGAATGGTGCCTCACCCCCAAAGAACTGCGAAGACTCCATGAGGTACTTACGACCACATCCTGTGCCTGTTGGCTACAAAATCATATAGAAATATTCTGAACAGATTACTGATAGGGTCTAGGTGGTGGTGATGATGGGTAAAAACAAAAAAAGAAAAAAAATGAATTTCCATGGAGTAACTATATTTAGCAACAAGTCTCTCCAATTCTCCGGTAATAAAAGGACTTTGTTTTGCTCAGAGTCCCCTTGAGTCCTACAATCATGCTTATATATAGTGTCTTTTGTCTCAGAATCTTGGAGCAGCTCTGAAATCAAAACACGACAAGGATTGGATGGTTGCAAAAAGAAAAGCGACAATTTGCTTTTGTTTCTGAACAAGCTCGCCTTTCCTTCCCAGTTTGCAACTTGGCAGCTGGATGTGAGCATGCGTCTGTATATGACCCCAGTCTAGCTGTGAAGGACACATACTGACAGCTGCTTGTAGCTTGGTTCTAGAGATGGAGTGATGAGAGAAAAGGACCCCACACTGCTCAGAAGGAGGAATTAAGAGGGTCGAGCAGAAGGGGTGTCTAGGGGTATCTGCTTTTTCCTGTCCATCAGGTCAAGAATTTTACATATGTGCTCTCATTAACTGATGTGATAGATGAGGATGGGGTGTGTGGGGGCGAGGTGGCAGGTTTGGTGAAGTTAATCATTTATATAAGTAACAGAGGAGGGGTCCATCCTGAACACTTCCTTATTCATAGACTCACACTGGCTCCCATCAACATTCTAATTCTCTCTTTCTAGACAGGTTGGTCTTGGCCTTCAAAACAACATGAAGCAGGAGGAAAGGTCCACCTGAGTAAGACTCAGGGAGTGTAAGATCTCAGGCATTGTGTGGGTAATAGAATGAAGAGTCGAAATGCCCCAGAGAGCATTTCCAAGGAGGAAAACGAAGTAGCAGGCACCTTAGCATTTCATGAGATCTAAGACCTCATCATATATAAAATTCTACTTTATCCTATGCACTACTTAATCGAGAAATAAGACCACTGTTGATTGCAATAGGCCTCCCAGTTTCAGAGGTTAAAAATGTGAAGAGCATACATCTTAGGACTGATGAGAGAGGCACGTGACATGGCTCAGTGGGTAAAGGCTCTTGTTGCCAAGCCTGAAAATTTGAGTTTGATCCCAGAGACCCACATGATGGAAAGAGAGAATCGACTCCTGCAGGCTGTTCTTTGACCCCCATGTGCCCTGTGGCATGCGCTCAAACTCACACAAATAAACAAATGAAGTTAATATTAAATTAATTAAATAACATAATTAAGATTGGAAAAGTAATTGGTGAGAGATTGCATTTGTGGGGCCAGCTCCTCTCCTGTAACAAAGTTTGTGGGGCCAGCTTCTCTCCAGTAGCAAACTTGACCATGGGACGTAGAAACCATGATAGATATTTTAAGGACAAAGGAACTTAACATGGGGAGTTAAGTAACATTGACATCACTGATGGGCTGGGCTAGCAGGTATTGGCTGGTGCTGTGGATGTCCACACAATCCAGAGTAGCTCTGACCTCATTATGTTTTCCAACATTGGAAGGTGTAACCCACATCTGTAAGGATTTTGGAAAAGTCAGCTCAGTAGGGTGGTGGTAATCCACACCAGGTGAGATTAAGACCACAACCACAATTTTTGAGCCTAATTTGAAGCAAGCTTTATTAATGTGGTAGTAGTTTATTTATTTATTTGTTTGTTTATTTTAATCCTGACGTGATCCAACACCAGATGGCCTGGGAATTGAACCTGGGTCTTCTGGAACATAAGTCAGTGCTCTTAACCACTGAGCCATCTTTCTTCCCCTTAATATGGTAGTTTAAATGTCATTGCTCCCATAGGCTTATGGGGAGTGGCACTTTTGGGAAGTGTGGCCATGTTGAAGGTGATGTGCCACTGTGGGGGTGGGCTTTGAAGTCTCTTTTGTTTAAGCTTCACTCAGTGTCACAGACACTTTCTGTTGCCTTCTGATCAAGACGTAGCTAGCACCATGTCTGCCTGCATGCCGCCATGCTCCCCACCAGGATGATAGTGGACTGAACTTCTGAAACAAGCCCCAGTTAAATGTTTCCCTTATAAGAGTTGAGTAGTCATGGTCTTTTCACAGCAATAGAAACCTTAACCAAGACAATTAAATACTAGCTAGGACGATGGACACTGGACAGGCCCATACCTGGGATTCCCAGAGTATGGCACCAAATTACATTAGTTAGAGGCTCATGAAGAACAACCCACAAGGCTATGTACTACCTGCTTTCATCCAACCAGGGGGAAGTATACATCCTGATGTACTTCCTGCCTAGGTACCTCCTGCCTACCTGTGATCAAAGACATCCTGCTCTTGGGGCTACCAAGCTTGTTTACAGAAGTGAAAACATGTGGTTTGTTACCTTACATAAATAACAGTCCCCAGCATTCCTGGAAGTTGTCCTTGAGCAAGTGGGGTTTACAGGTTAGAGGCATTTTTCTTTTATAGATCTCTTAAGCATGGTCCTTTAAACGTAAAACATAACTTTAGCCCTCGCAGTATCCTTGAACAGACCAAGGGCAGCTCACGATCATCTTAGTTACTTCTGTTGCTGTGATCAAATACCCTGACAAAGGAAACTTGAAGCAGAAAAGGTTTATTCTGACTCATAGTTCACACTCAAGTCCCTCTAGGTGGGGGAAGGAGGCCTTAAAGCTGGAAGCAGTTGTTCACATCCGATCCACAATCAGGAAGCAGGGAGCAATGAATGTGTGCTGCTGCTCAGCTCCTTTCCCCATTTACACCGGCCAGGATCCCAGCCAGGGAGTGGTGCCACCCACTGTGGATGGGTCTTCCTACCTCAGTAGAGATAATCAAGGAGATCCTTGTCCTGAGGCCCCCCCTCCCAGGAGATTCTAGATCTTCTCAAGTAGACAATTGAAATTAACCATCATGGTGGCTTTGGAGCTTTGTCTGCTTATCTAGACACTCGGGTCCTGTCTCATCAGCCTTGCAGGATTATGAGCTCATTTTCTCAGGAAGTAATAGATTTTAGTAACCTCCTGTTTATTGGAGTTTGTGCATGTTCCTGGCTCTCCCACTAGGTCTTTTTTTCTTTTTCTTTTTTCTTTTGTTTTGGTTTTTGGAGACAGGGTTTCTCTGTGTAACTTTGCGCCTTTCCTGGAACTCGCTTTGGAGACCAGGCTGGCCTCGAACTCACAGAGATCCGCCTGGCTCTGCCTCCCGAGTGCTGGGATTAAAGGCGTGTGCCACCACCGCCCGGCTTCCACTAGGTCTTAAATGTACTGGGACATTATACCTGACAAAGAGGAGACGCTCAAAAGGCAAGGGCCTGGGTGAGTACAAACCAGGGCTGGAGGCTTCTACATATTCTGTTCCTCACTCCTTTCTTTCCCTTCCTTACCAGAGGCAGTATTTCCCTGCGTTACTGTAATTAACAAGGGCACCCAGTGGCTTTGTTCCAGAGGGATCAAAGCCCTTCTCAAGCTTAACCTCATTTTCTCCCATGGGTCCGGGAGAGGCAAATTGCTAGTTAGCCTAGGATGACTGTTCCCACTCCACAGATAAAAACAAGGACAAGAACTCGAGAACTACCTCTTGGGTGGAGCCAGCACCTGGCGGCAGCCTGCCAGGGCAGGTTTCTTCCTAATGACTCTCTTGGTTGCTTGGGTTTCCCAAATGGAGTTTCCACCATGAGGGAAAGCAGCACCCACCTCCACTCTTTCCCCAAGTGTCTCCTGCTGTTGACTTCTTCATGTCTCTGATTAGGGTTACCAGGACTCCAGTGACTCTCAGAACGGAAAAGGGGCAGCCTGGGGCCTGGCTCCGGGGCAAGCCAATGCAGATTCTACACACGAAATTGTGGTTAGTCTTCCTCACCGAAAACCTGTTGTTTATGCCTCCTAACCTTCCTGTGAGTCACCGGCTTGATCCTCGATGGCCCCTGAACTAGGAGTCTCATGACTTAGATATGACCCTGTTCTGTTCACATCTCTATCACCAGGCTGAAAGGATTGCTTTATAGGAATTGCCTCTATGTTCTGAGGCCATGTATAAAGTGGTGGAGAGAAGAGCATTCAAAAGCAGATTCAGGGAACATGAATTCCTTAAGTAAAAATGTATGCCTAGGGCTTCCTTAGGTTTTAATTATAGTACAAGAGCATCTTTTGTGGATACTCTAACCCCTGGTTCGCAGTAAATGTTTGAAAATATTTGTTAGGATTGTAGAGGTTGATTTTTTTGTTTTGTTTTGATTTTTTTGAGGCAGGGTCTCACTACATGGCTCTGGCTGTCCTGGAATTCACTATGTAGACCAGACTGACCTCGAAACTCACAGAGATTCATCTCCCTCTGTTTCAGGAGTGCTGGAATTAAAGGAGTTTGCCAGCAGGCCCAGCTGTAGAGGTATTTCAGAATACATGGCAGGCTTTTACTCTCAAGCCTTTCCTCCCGAGCTCAACTCTTAGTTTCAAGAGCTCAGCAGCAGGTTGTGACCGATCGCTGGTCTGTCCATTCCTGGCTTTCACACCAACCTATCAACTAGAATGTGCTGAAGATCTCCTATGTCCCAGGAGTCGCACCCTAACTGGTGGTATTTCAGACATGCTGTCACAATGACGGCTGCTTGGACTGGTCTCCTGCCACGCGCTGCACTGGCAGGACTTCTCAGCACATGTGGGTGGTGTTGGAGGTGTTGGCAACAGCCTTGGAATATAGCCGCAGCAAAGAAGCCCTTAACTGAGAGCCATCGACAAAGTGCCAGAACCGTGAGCTCTTCCCACCTCGGAACAGACCATGTACTGTTGCTGACTTAACTGTGCTTGAAGGTCAGCCAATTGTCAGGCCAGTGTGGAAGCAGGGCCCATTTTTCTGCATGTCTGTGGTGAGGTTAGGGGAAAAAGATCACACTGTAACAAGTAAATCCCATTCCAAGCACGGGTGTGTGTACGTGTTTGCCTTCTGACCACAGAGCCTTGCGGTGGGACTTCACACTCACGAGATGTGTGAATCTTGAGACCTCTTTGCTGACAAATATTCATCAAGAGCTCACCTTGTGCCTGCATTTCCATCAGGGTGTATACAGAAAGCAGATGCTACTAGAGGATTTGTGGAGAAGGGTTTGTATTTGGTGAGGCTGTTGAGAAAGGTGTGGGGTCGGAGCCACACAGGATGGAGCAATAACTTGTGGCTCCGAGGCAGCCATTATGTTATCAGTTCCAGCCCTGACACAATCACAGAGGTCTGCTCTCATTGCATACTTGTGAGAGGCCCAGGGAGCAGTGACCTTCAGCTAAGGGACTTCTCTGCCTGGGTGTGTTCTTGTTGGGGAGAAATCAGAAGAAACATCACCTTCTTTAGCTGACTTTTTTTTTTCTTCTTTCAGTTCTCAAGGTCCCCCACGGATCAAACTCAACAGAAGCCTGGGAACAGTGGGACATGCAATGCAATTCTTTTATGGGTCCACTACATGGGGCAGGAGGCAAGATAGGAAAGGAGCTGGAGTAGGTGGGTGGGTGTACCTGGGGCAGTGAATTCAAGATGTGAAGATCAATGCTACACTGCACACTGGGCAGCGACTCAGATTTTGTGGGGGCTAAAGCACATACAATTTTCTTTTAGGATCCACTTTAAGAAAACAACACAGGCCCGGTGTGGTGGCATACACTTTTAACTCAGCACTTGGGAGACAGAGGCAGGTGGACCTCTGTGAGTTCCAGGACAGTCTAGACTACTTAGTAAGTTCCAGGACAGCTAGCATTACATAGTTCCTGTCTGTGTGGTGGTATTTTACTTATACTGAAATGTGATTTTAATTGTATGTTAATAAATAAAGTTGCCTGGGGGTCAGAGCTATTAGAGCCATAGCAAGAGTGTGGCGGTGGTGGCGCACGCCTTTAATCCCAGCACTTGGTAGACAGAGCTAGGTAGATCTCTGTGTGTAAAAAGATACAGCCAGTATTGGAGACACACGCCTTTAATCTCAATCCCAACCATAGAAGACCTGGAAGTCTTTACAGACAGGCAGTGATGAGGCATGGGTTTACAACCAATGAGAAGGCAGAATCGAAAGTCTTTATAAAGACAAACACACAGGAAGTAGCTCCTTTTCAGAGAGCTCTCTTGGCTGAAGAGGATGGCTGAAGCAGGAAGGGTGAGGCTCTTAGCTCTGACCTCTTGGCTTTCTTCTCTGAACCGGCTCTGTGTTTCTTATTTAATAAGATGGTTGGTTACATCTACATTTGGTGCCCAACGTGGGGCAAGAGTTTCCACCTAAAACCTGAGAAGATTCAAAAACAGAACTAAAAACAGCTTCCTAATTGTCTCTCTCAAATGAGTGGCAGCTGCCGGTTTGAGCTACTGGTGGGTTCCTAGCATGTGCGCTCAACCTGCCGTATGGCGGGAATGAGGCCTCTGCAAGTGGCACATTAAGCTGTGTGGTGGATTTAGCCTTTGCAGGTACAAAACAAAAAAAGAGGTTTCTGGGCTACATGCTGCTTGGATAGAATCATAGACCCATGATAGCTCCCAGAGCTGACGGTAAACTACCACTGCCATGTTGGGAAGCTGAGGTGGGCGGAGCCAGCAGCAACAGCTGCTGCAGTTTAAAGTAATAGATTCACAATAAGACAGATTCAGATGTAATAGTTTACAATGTGTGTAAAAGATACGTAGGCTTGGAAGAGAGAGAAAAAGGTGATATATACAGTTATAGAAACAAATACATAGTTTTAAAAAATAAAGTCTTTAAAGAGACAGTAAAATTAATATAAAAAATAAGCCATGTAAAGATGGATATCACACAGAGAATCTGGATTGTGTTGTCTTTGGGATTCTTAACTGCAGAGAGATATTTGATTGTAAAGGAAGCTGAGTTAAACCAATATGCATATTTTAAAGGTACCTTGACTTCAAAATTTGGTTATAAGGATATGTTGCTTTGGAAAGGAGACACTGCTTTTGTTCCCACAGAAAGTCAGAGGCTATGGATTTGTTCCAGATTAAGATACATCAGATTTGACCAGCCAAGAGCCCCTGAAAGGTCTCTGATGACACCATGACCCAGATGATCCAACATCCAGAAGGATTTGAAGGCAACTGGCTCAGACGATACACCCTCATGGACTATTCCATAATTCTAAAATTTTCTTTGTGTCCCCATAAGATACAGCACCCCCCTCCAGCAGGAAGTAGTAAGAGAAGCTACGCCCAAATTCCCAAATTATATGTAGTTTTACTTTGTTAAGGTTAAAACCTTCCTTTTTGAAAAAAAAAAGGGGGGGGGAAGTGCTGTGGGATGGTCTGCATGTCAAGTGTGTTGCTGATTGGTCAATAAATAAATCACTGATTGGCCAGTGGCCAGGCAGGAAGGATAGGCAGGACAAGGAGGAGAATAAAGCTGGGAAGTGGAAGGCTGAGTCAGAGAGACACTGCCAGCCACCATGATGAGAAACAGCATGTGAAGATGCCGGTAAGCCACGAGCCACGTGGCAAGGTATAGATTTATAGAAATGGATTAATTTAAGCTGTAAGAACAGTTAGCAAGAAGCCTGCCATGGCCATACAGTTTGTAACCAATATATAAGTCTCTGTGTTTACTTGGTCGGGTCTGAGGGGCTGCGGGACTGGCAGGTGATAGAGATTTGTCCTGACTGTGGGCCAGGCAGGGAAACTCTAGCTACATGTCTGAAAGGAAAACACACACACACACACACACACACACACACACACACACACACACACACACACAACAAAAAGCCCACCCCCTATCTTAAATTGGTAAAACAATTGCAGTAACAATAATAACACCACCCAAAACCAAAGCCTTTTCCAGGGCTTCAGAAGACTCAGATCCAAATTGAAGCTTGAAGCCTATGCTTCCTGCTCCTCGAAATTTGAAGTAAGTCTCTTTGTCTACACATTGAATAAATTAAGCTTCAGTCAGCTCTGGTAATATTTATTTCAGCTTTTTTTTCTTTTCTTTTGGTTTTTTGAGACAGGGTTTCTCTCTGTAGTTTTGGTGCCTGTCCTGGATCTAGCTCTGTAGATCAGGCTGGCCTGGAACTCACAGAGATCCGCCTGGCTCTGCCTCCTGAGTGCTAGGATTAAAGGCATGCGCCACCACCACCTGGCTTTATTTTGGCTTTGACAGTCACAGTACTTGGTTAAGACAGCAATCTTAAACCACATTTCCCAGAAGCCCTCGGGCTCTTAAGACCCCCACCCTCTAATCCTCCAACCCCGCCCCCGCCCCCTCCCGTCTCCGCGGCTCAAAGACTACAATTCCCAGCATGGAGCGAGAGTAAGGACCACAACTCCCGGCGTGCCCTCAGGGGTGGCCCGGAAGCGTGTCCTTCCTCTTGCCCCGCCTCTCCTGCTGCTGTCAGCCAATGGGAATGCTCAGTATTGCGCGGTGTGGCGGGGACAGCGCCGTAGACAAGTTGCGAGTCGAGGAAAGCGGCGGGAAGTTCGTACTACGCTGTGGACCGCGGGTTGGCAACTCTGGGTAGGGAGCTGTGGGGTGGCGGCGGGACGGTGGCTACGGTGTCGCTTCAGAGCCGCACCTGCTCCTCCAGGCCTCGGGCGGCGCCGCGGCTGGGTCGGGCCTGCCCGGGAACCCTCGCTTCTTAGCCTGCTCGCGGAGCTGCCGGAAGCCTGGTTCTAGAAGGACGCCCGAAACGGGTCTCGGGTCAGGGTGGCGGACCAGGGATGACAGGGACCTGGACCCGGGCTGAGCCTGCCCCTTCCTTAGCAGCGGTGCGGTGAGGCCTTGGGGTGCACCCTGAGGGCCGCCGGCTTCTCGCCTCCTTCCTGTCTCTGCTTCTATGGTCTCCGCCGCAGGTGTCCTGTTTCCCGGTGCAGCGTCTTCAAAGGCAAACTTAGGTTTCCTCCAGCGTCAAAGTTTGTTTTACACCGTTTCCAGTCCAAATAGCCTCAGGTGTAAAATGCTCCCGAGTCTTTTGAGAGATGGGGAGAGAGACCGACACGCTAGTAGAGTCCTGAGGAGGTTACCCGTTTTTGTTTTTTTTTCTGTTGTCTTTGAAGTCATCCATTCTTTATGTATGTATGGATTCTTCTTTTCCCTACCCCAGTGATCTTGGAACAATTTGCAAAGACGATTTTGCAAGGTGGTGGTTAAACTTGGGATCGTTGAGGAGCTTCTTCATTAATTAATTCTTTCCTCTCTCTTTCACGCTCTCTCTCTTTTTTTTTTTTTTAAACTGGAATTGCCCATCTGTTAAGTCTGGAATTCAAAACAGTAAAAAAAAAAAAAAAAGTAGAACAGCACTTATTTTTAAGAGTTCAAGAGAAAGGCGTCTCGCAGGGCGGTGGTGGCACACGCCTTTAATCCCAGCACTCAGGAGGCAGAGGCAGGCGAATCTTTGTGAGTTTGAGGCCAGCCTGGGTTACAGAGTGAGTTCCAGGAAAGGCGCAAAGCTACACAGAGAAACCTTGTCTTGAAAAACCAAAAAAAAAAAAAAAAAAAAAAAGAAAAGAAAAGAGAGAGAGGCGTCTCACCTATTTGTGACATGCTGATCATAATGTTTGAGGAGATTTACTTTACAATTGTGATGGGAATTAAATTTCTGGTCAGTTAAGATAATGCTCATCTACCTGTAGAAAGGAATGCAAGTTGACATCACTTTAATGATGGCTTTTCATGTTGTGCCACAGATGGCAGTCAGTGCGACTCAGCTTTGCTGATGGTGTCTATGCTAACACAGGAACATGGGTTGAGTTGGATAACAAGTGTGTGTTAGGCATTAGTGATTCGGTACAGCGCTAGTATCCAGTACAGAAATCACTTTGATAACTGTAATGGCTGCTGCGTATGCTTGGCATTGCAGAAATGATGAGAGTCTATTTGTTAAACAAATGAGATGATGGAGTTGATGTGTTAAGTAGGGAGCCTGGCATCTAATAAGTTATCTAGTGCCCAGGGAATGGTTATATGGAAAGCTTATGCTGAGTCTTATTCAAGTATGCATGTGTATATTTTAAAAATAACAGCAGTGCATTTAAAATGTTGACAGGCCCCAAAATTAAATTTCTTACAGGAAATAGGCCAGCTTTTCTTAACTTTGAGAACTAACATGAAGTAATGATAAATGAATGTCCCAGATGTCTAGAAAAGACAAAAGATTTAACCTTTGACTCCCCCCCCCCAAGACATCTGTAATAGACATGCTATGAATAGGATTTGATTTGAAAAAAGAAGCGATTTCTGTGTGTGGCTGTCCCAGTATGTTTATGCAGATGGACTTTGTGGCTATCTCAGTATGCTTATACAGATGGACTGTGTGGAACTGTAAGAGTATTCTTATAAGCCTTTAATCCCAGTACCAGGGAGGCAGAGGCAGGTAGATATCTGTGAGTTCCAGCCAACCTGATCTACATAGTTTCAGACCAGCTAGAGCTACATAGTGAGGCCCTATCTCAAAATCAACAACAACAAGAAGGTATGCTTGTACAAGTTGACTGCAGACATTACAGAGTATGCTTACATGAATTAACTGCAGACATCACAGTACACTTACACAGATTGACTGCCATCAGTGTCACTGGGTGACATCATTTTATGGAACTTCTCTGTACTCAGTCATTGACTGACGGCTGTTAGGTGGCTAGTGACTGCATTTTGATAAGTCTGCATCAACTCCTCTCTTTCTGTGGGTGTCTAGTCCAAAGGATGGGAACCTGTGCTCCAGGATTTAAAAATTAAGATGGACATATATTTAGAGTAGTACTAAACATGTATATGAAAATGAATATATCAGTAAGCCACATGCATTAAGTGGAAACACTAAATGGAAGTCATAATTAAATGGCAGAGTAGTTAGTTTGAAATTTTCGAATGCTCTGCCATGTACTTTTAAAGCAGCTGTCACACTGACACTGGAAGAAAGTGCACCTTACATAGCTCAGTATCAGGAACAGAATGGGACTAAAAACGAGGACCTTATAATTGCTGTCTGTGCATCAGATTTCTCAGTGAATCAGCTGGCTGGCTGCTTTTGGTGGGTGAGCAGCTACATCTCTAGACGTAGCTTCTTGTTTTAAGAACCTCAGAGAGACCACATTATATAACTCAATTTTACATAAGATTAAAAAATATGGAATTTGAAGTGTTATAACCAGAAAATGACAGCTTTACTTGAGTTTGCATTTCTCAAGTTATTTTACCAAGTATGTGC